TATACAGGGTGTCCCGAAATTCATGCAACAAAATTTGGCCACAGATTCTTAAGACAAATTTAGGGGACTCGTATTTTTTATTTTTTCCAAGTGAGTTACAGCCCCCTTAAATCCGCCCCTAAGAATTGTTTTTTTTGTCTTTGGAGCCAAAAAAAATTGGTGGCATATTTAAATTTCTTAAAAAATATTAGTCCCCTAGAAAGCCATTGAATTTAGAAACTTTTTTGTCTCTTGATGCTATTTCGTAAAACGCAATGTTTTCGAGAAAATGGCAAAATGTGATCGAATGCATATCATGATTTGCCATTTTTCTCGAAAACATTGCATTTACGGAAAAAATATCAAGAAACAAAAAAGTTTCTAAATTCAATGGCTTTCTAGCCAACCAATAATTTTTAAGAAATTCAAATATGCGACCAAATTTTTTTGGTTCCAAAGACAAGGGGGCCCACGAAAAATTGTCTTAAAGGGGTTCCGCGTCAAAAAACGTAGCACCATCAGATTCCACATGTCATAAAATCCCTGTGTACCAAATTTAGTGATTTTCGTACAAGAGGGTTCTAAGATATAAAATAGACTATTCTTAGGGTCGGACTTCAGGGGGCTGTAAATCCGAAAGAGGGAGACACTTGGCAAAAATTAAAAATACGGTCACCTAAATTTGTCTTAAGAATCTGTTTATATAAAAAAACAGTGATGGGATTGCAGTCAAGAGTGCTAAGGGCTAGTACAATAAGAACACTCTGTGTTATTGTCAAGTTTCCGAAAATGTTTATTTCTCAAGACATAAGCCTGAATTAAATTAGAAAACCATCAAAAAAGAGAAATACAGAACCATTGTTAAAAATTACACATATATTAATTTTAAAAAACAATTATAACTACAGTCACATTTTTAAAAATAATAAATAAATAAAATAATTTAAAAATAATTAATAAATTAAAATAAATAATTTTTAAATTGTAATAACTTCTAAATGCCTTAATCGGATCTCGGAAAAGGTAAGAGATACGAAGTATATATGGGGTCAAAGTTGCAAAATCAAGAGACCAACATTAAGCCTCTAAAAAATCAAAGCTAACATGATCAGTTTTCGAAATATTTGAAAAAAAAAACGAAATTTTGGAAATCCGTTTTTGTTTCATATCAGTCTTGTTTGAGGTGATATTGATAAAAGAAGAAGACTTTCTCATGGCCACTTTTTCCCCTCTATCGAATGGCATAATCAATTTTTATATGTAACCTTTCGTCTCTCCTGGACCATCATCAACTTAATTTTTGTAAATACGACCCTAGAAAATTTTATTACATTTTTTGCAAGCCTTCATGATCCGCAGTACTGTACTGCCTCAGCACGAACCAGATTCAGACGTTTCGTCTGGAAAAATTCATCTTCAATGTATTCGTTCCAAGTTTATATATTTTTTTTAAATTTCTATTTTTATTGTATCGTACACTCTAAATATCGTTAGACCCTGTTAAACTATTACCATTACACGTTACAATAAAACATTATTAGAGTTTTAATCCCGTATTCATAGTTATTTCTAGGTTTTTCGAGTGCTCAAAATTCAAACAAATTTCCATCTAATTTTTTCAGGATATTCATACAAGATAGATTTGACATGCTCTTTGACAGTTACAGTTACAGGTATAATAAATTCCGATGATATTAAGTTTATCGTCATCTACAACATTTACCAAAACGGAAACGTTTTTGAACATTTACTGTAATTTTTTAAAATACAATATTCATTTGGAGTTTTGGTTCATATGCATTTTAAAAATTAATTTGTCATAATGAAACAACTTATCAAATTATGTACGACCAGGTGATGGAGATTAAAACTCCAATAACGTTTTATTGTAACGTGTGATGGTAATAATTTAAATAACTAGGTGTATTTCACAGGGTCTAACCTAACGATGCTTAGAGTGTACGATAATTCAATAAACATAGAAATCTAAAAAAAATAGATAAATTTGGAACGAATACATTGAAGACTAATTTTTCGAAACGAAACATCTGAATCTGGTTCGTGTTGAGGCAGTATAGTATTGCGGGTCATGAAGGCTTGATGATGGTCCTGGAGAGACGAAACGTTACATATAAAAATTGATTATGCCATTCGATAGAGCGGAAAAGTTGCCATGAGAAAGTCTTCTTTTTTCAAAATCATCTCAAACAAGGCCGATATGAAACAAAAATGGATTTCCAAAATTTCGGTTTTTTTCAAATATTTCGAAAACTAATCATGTTAGCCTTGACTTTTTAGAGGCAATGGCAAGAATGTTGGTTCCCTGATTATGCAAATTTGCCCCCATTTAAGCTACTTCGTATCTCTTACAGTTGCCGAGATCCCTGTAGTGAGAAACGAATTTGTAACAGCCTGTATATAGGTACGGTCAAAATTGATTCAATGGCCGAAAGTATGTAAAAATACCATTGTCTTGTTAATGTTATTAGCATTATAATAAATCAATGTGGTTATTAATACAATTACAAAGTCATCAGTTTCAATGATCCTATGTGATAAAATCAAAGTAATCAGTCGTCATTATGACAATCAAAAGAAGCATTTATGTATAGAAGTATTATTGTAATGGTATTTCCATTATATAGAGTGATTCATAACATCCAAAAAAATTGGGAATAGATTGGTCATGAAAAATGGAGCCAATATCGTAAAAAAAATTGTAAAATCCTTATAGCTTCCAAGAAAAAAATTAATTATTGAAGTTGTAGTATTTGCAGCCCTTACATCGATGGGCTACTGTAGTCTCTAGCGTCATTCGCGTTGTGCGCTGTACCCAATGCGCTCTCTTCACGTGACCCTAGGCGATTCTAAATACTGAAATCCGATTATAGCATTAATGTTGTTGCGATAGTGTTTACATTAGTTTTTCAAGTGTCAAAAATGGCTTACGTGTATAGTAACTCGGAATTAATGGATATAGTTTTAATTTATGACACAAGACAACATTTGTGTTATGGTGAAGCAAGACAACATTTGTGTTAGTTCGTAGAAACTGGGTAAGACATCGTTGAACAAAATTTTGAATAGTTATCAGGTGCGTTAAATTATTTTATTAATTAAAACCACAAATTAATTTTATGCCGACTGCATGCTTTGCCTTGCGTAAGGTCAGGTTTTACAGTGGACAAGTTTCCAGTGCCGTGCAGAAGTGTATTTTTAAATTCGTATATTTTTACAAAGTTGTATTTGTAAGATTCCCCTGTACATTAAAAAAACTATATGAATAAGCTCTGATTCACACTGTATTTATGTCACTATTTCGTTCTGTACACATTGGCGCTCGGCTCAACCCTGCTGTGGTTGTGCAGGACTAGTTCTGGAGCGATTCCGTAACGTTTCCTCTGCCTAGGACGACGATTTTCCGACTTGCATCAACCAAGTCCGCCTGAACATTCTTCCGTCGATCGTTCTTCGATCCAATTGCCGACAAATCCCCATAAATTGTCTGCTTGAGCCTTGTCTGGCCAACAAGTCGGGCCTCACATTACCGTGGCTAGTGTGTGTTTAAAAAGCTAGCGCGGGGAAGTAACTAACATCTTCATAGCTTCGGGTGGGGCGAGCTCGATGCCGTACGAGCGCCACTGCGTGGCGCGTTGTGAGGCGGCGCGAGAGGACGTCGCCGTCGCGCAGTCGGCGTCGTGCGGCGTGTAGTGTGTTTCGAGAATCGCAGAAGAGCGTAAGGTGGTGCGTCGGGACGCAACGACGACTCACATATCAGAATCGGTGATACGAACACACTAGATTGGTTATGTCGACGGACTCAGTGCCTGACGTGAAGATGGTCGCTCCAGGGCATTTCCAAGGGCTTAAGATGACTGAAGGTAATTAACCAGGACTGATTAAATTCCCTCGTTATTGCCACGATGCTCCCATTCCTGTATTTAGGTCCTTTCGCGGAGTTAGCCTGCACATGGAGATCCTTCACGTGTTTGTTAACCCCCACTCTTCACGGGAAGAATGGGGGAAATGGGGGCGCAACCGCAAACCTTTTGCCAAGCCGCAATTTTAGTTTTATCAGCGCGGATGCACGATAAAACTTTAAAACTAATTTGTCTATCTAATATTATTCCTTCATTTAAAACTATATAAAATTCCATCTAGATTCTGACAAATACATTGAAAGCACATACGCCTACTTACGTCGCTACGATGAATTATACAGGATGTTAAACGATGTTTTTAAAATAAATTATTTGTTTCCCGAATGCAAGTAATGAATCAAAACCATGTTTATTTTTCAGTGCATTGATTGAGACGACTGAAAATTGGTTAATTTAACCCGCTGTTAAGTAGGATTTGTATTTTTGTAATAAAACATTTGCGATTAATATTCTACATTATTACTGTTTGATGATGATGAGGCTCTTTTGACCACAAAAAAAATTAATGAAAGAAATAGTTGAAGTACAGGGTGATCGATTTAACTGGAGAAATGAATTTTTCTGGGAAACGGCTGAGAAAAATAAATTATTTTAGAAATTATTGCATTTCTGATTACTTTTACTTGAAGGTAGGGTCAAAATACAGAAATTATCTTTACGACGCTAGGCGTCGCGGCGCTTCAAACAATTTTGAATATTTTTCCTATATATGTTCCCAATATTTAAAAAGTTACGGGCAATTCTCTAGTGAATGTCTCTATCTCATAATTATTATTGCAACGACGTAGTCAGCTATATAGATCTTTTTCAATGCTTTTGCTGGTTCAATATATCAATAACTATGGTTCTATTTACAATAAAAAACGTATTCACTATAAACAATTTAATAATACAACTGTGTATACAACAATTACATTAACCACCTATCATATAAGGCAGACCACATCAATATAAAGAATATCAACTGAAATAAATAAATATAAAAATAAATAAACACAATACTTAATGTTTTAATAGTTGTTCAATGTGAGCACCGTTATTATTTAAACACAATTCGTAACGTTTTCTTAGTTCACTGGATGTTACTTTTTTACAATATTGCCACGTCGTTCAGCACAAGCAGCAGTGATTTTCTGCTTCAAATGTTCAATACTGTTTGTTTTAGTTTTATACACGATAGTTTTTAGGACTCCCCACAAGAAGAAATCAAGAGGGGTTAGATCTGGGGCTCTCAGAGAAAATTGTAAAAGGCCATTAGTACCTATCGACTCGATTTTCAAAGTGCAAATTTAAATAGTTTTGAACAACTGCAGCATTATGGTAAGGCACCCCGTCCAGTTGAAACCACAGGTGTCTCCTAATTTGAAGTGGCACATTTTCTATAAGAATAGGAATTTCATTTGCAAGAAAATTGCAATACCTTTGTCCCGTTAAGACACCATCATAATAATATGGACCTATTACATGGCGCCTTACAATTCCACACCATACATTGGCACTAAAGTGACCCTGCCTTTGAACTTCTCTAATACTATGTGGGTTTTCGTCCGACCAATGATGAGTATTTTTCCAGTTTGGAATGCCATGATAAATGATAAAATGACTTTCGTCTGTCCACAAAATGTGGTTATACAAATTAGGAACCTCATCTAATGTAGTAACTAAGAACTGAGAAATGCACACTATGTATTTTATAATCGTAGAATTTGTAAATTTTTAAAACTCTTTGAATAGCATTGTCAAAAACTCTCTCGGAAACCTTTTTAATCGATGCTTCAGGATGATTTTCAAAAGAGTTTATTATAATTGACACATTTTCATCAGCGGTTACTGTTTTTTGTCTCATCCTGTTAACTAAAAATGATTTCTTATTCTGAAGGACAAAATTTAACAATTTGCTAAATATTTGATGATTTGGAAGATTTCTTTCGGGATATCTCAGTGCGTATAATCTTCTTGCCCGTAATGAATTTTTCTGGGCTTCTCCGAAAATTAACAGCATATCCACTTTTTCGTCATGGGAAAACATTTTATTACTGCTACTTTTCAGTAACTACTACTAATGAACGACCACAACACTTCAAAAATTAATTCTATAAACTCTATAATGATTATTAAAATCTTCAAAATTCTGACACTTCTCATTGAGCATATGTCATATGAAAACAAATACTGTTTTTGCCTAGCCTGCTCACATTTATTCAAAAAATAATAAAGTTCAACGAATAGAATTTACTACATTTATTAGAAATGTGTGGCAAAAACTATCACAACAGATAAAAATTTGGCAATTGTTTTTCACTGTTTAGTTGCATTGGAGAATTACAGTAAAGCTTTTAAATTATAGTGTCATTTAATAGGTTTATATAGTTTTATGATGGTGTCTTATTAACAAAATACGATTTGGGAATCTGCAACAACTTTTTAAATAATGGGAACATAAAAAAATGTTATATAGGAAAAATATTCAAAGTTCTTGGGATCTTTATCGTGACATATTAAAAAATGTACGTTGCTGGAAAAAATTTTTTGAAGCGCCGCGACGCCTAGCGTAGTAAAGATAATTTCTGTATTTTGATCCTACCTTCAAGTAAAAGTAATCAGAAATGCGACAGTTTCTAAAGTAATTTATTTTTCTCAGCCGTTTCCCAGAAAAACTCATTTCTCTCGTTAAATCTATCACCCTGTACACATCGAAGTTAATGTATTTTAATGCAATATTTTATTTCATTTTTTTTTAGTTCAAAGTATAATTTCTAATAATTGTTTACACCAATTTCCTAAAAAATACACTATTATGTTTGAGAGGGAAATAACTGACAAAAAAATTAAAATTAAATTTGGTAGGTTATACCTGGGTAGGTTTCCATAATATGCTATAACAAAATGTCCCCCAAACAGCCAGTGGCGGAAATATCAGCAATCGCTTTAATTATTTACTAAGGAATTAGTACGCCACTGTATCAATCAAAAATTAGTTCCATTCATTGATGAAGATAATAATTTTAAACGAAAAGTGTTCCTTTATGTTTATTTCTGATACATCACATGGTTAAATCTAAAAACTAATTATACATATAGATGAAATATTTTAATATTTTTTTTATCTAAAATGTAATTTGTAATAATTGTTTATACATCCCCAAAAGAAGTTTTCCGTGTGAAATTTTTTCTCTTTGAGATTAATTGCTTCACACTCAAACACTCAAAGTGACAGCTATTATTAATTTTGTCAAACAACAACAAAAACGAATGCACTGCCAACTTGCTAATTTCTGTTTAGATAGTGAATAGTGAATCTAAAAACTGATAAAAATTTTTTAGACTGATGTTAACTGCGAGGAATAATAATTTTTTGTAATAAAATTGGTACAAAAAAAGCTGAGTGCATAATTTCTGCTATTTTTCAAATTATTGCAACCGGATTACGCCATGCAATAGATTTTAATTTTTTTTACTCGAAAACGGTGCGTCATAAGAAAAACAGTCGAGATACCTTTTCTCTTCCAAATTGAACAAGGAATTGAAAAATAATTTATTGTAAGAGAAATCAGTGGCGTATCATTTTTCACCAGTGGCATGCCTGTGCGCACGCCACTGGTGAAACTAAAAACAATATTTTTATTGTAAAACATGTATTGTTGTTAATTGCCACAGCTTGTAAAATTTCATTAAAATATTCTGAGCGATTTCCGCAATATTTATAAATTTGCATTTTTTTATTATAACTTTATCACCCTGTAGATCAGAAACTAAGCGTCTTCGGAATATGGTATATTAAGGAAATATATCACAAATCACTTGTACCATAACCTCCTGCAAGGAATGCATGGACTTACTAAACATCCTGTATATTGCATTATGCCAAATGTCGACCCATGACATAGATTATAAGATTTATAGAAATATGTTAAACACTCAATCAAAATTCAAAAATACTATTTACGTAAATATTACAATAAAATAATTGTTTAGCTTTGTGTATATTGAAAAAAAAAGTATTAAAAAGTATATAAAGTATGTTTTATAAAGTAAAACATTTATTTATTGACTAAGATAATGGAATTTCTGTTTACGATTCTCAGACTTACATTAAATTTAGTTTATTCTAATAACACCATTAAATTTTGCGTTTGAAGATTTTTTCTAAAAAAAAAATCGTTCATACATGAAATTGCACTATTTTTCCAAATTAAATAAATTTAAAACACATGTTTCTGCTATTTAATGGTTTGCGACTTGTTTACATAAAATAAACTACGTACGTAGTTGAATAACGCTTTTTCTTTTAAATTTTTCTGTTTTATACGTTAACGGTTATATCAAATTGGCCTCATATTAAAACAGAAAAAGTTTGAAGCGTTTCAAAGTGGGCTTTGCGATAAAATTAATCCCGAAATCGGATTCGTTTCTCTTCTAAAACAAAATTGATGGCAAATAAAAAATGTTATGAGACCTTTTGTTCATATTAAGTTCTTTTATGTGGGGAAGAATATTTGCAACACTTATAATAATTTTATTTACCAGAATTTCCCGAGAAAGAATTCCTGCCGTATCTTCGTTTGATGTTCGCCTTTAGATGCTGTGTCAGGTCCCTCGATATATTTTGCAAGAAATTCAGAAATGTAGATAATCTTCGCGGCACATCGCAAACAACTATTTGACAATAATCCAAGACGTTCGAATACGTTTATTGTGCATTTTATTTGTATACATATTTCTCGCATTCCTTTTCTTTCACTGCTTGAACATATTTTACGTCTAAATATAATTTTTCCAAAGTCTTGCTCTTTTAACGTTTTGCTCTTAAAATAGCGCTGTATAAACATTTTAATTAAACTAGTAAATATTCAATCATTACGTTTATTAGTTAAAATTTTAATCACTCGATAACAGCTCACGTTCACATTTTGAGCATATTTCGAAAACAAAAATTAGCG